TGTATGGAGATGTCATATTAATAACACGCGATTTTTAAATGCGTTGGTGAGAGTTCTGTGAGCACAGAGTGGCACTGTTATTAGTATGAAAATTCACATTCACCATGGATTGTAGTTACGGTGTCAGATCATGTGATAATTATGTAGCCTGTTTGTTGTTATTATTGTACAGGATTTATATAGCACCAACAGTTTGCTCAGCGCTTTACAATATAAAGGGAGACAATACAGCAAATATACAGTTCAATACAAGAGGGATAGGAAGACCCTGCTTCTTGGAGCTTACAAACTAACAGGGAGAGGCTGTTGGTACAAAATGTAATAACTGTGGGGGATGGACTGGTAGAAGGAAAAGAAGCTTACATTATTAGCTGAAGGCAGGATAGGATTCCCTGAAGAGATAGGTTTTCAGAGATCGCCTAAAAGTGAGCAGAGTAAGCGATAGTCTGATAGATTGGGGTAGAGAGTTCCAGAGGATAGGGATGGCTCTGGAGAAGTCCTGGAGACGAGCATGGGAGGAGGAGACAAGGGAGCTAGAGAGCAGGAGGTCGTGGGAGGAGCGGAGAGTACAGTTTGAGTGATATTTGGAGACAATATTGGTGATGTAATTTGGGGCAGAGTTATAAATGGTTTTATATGTTATTGTTAATGTTTTGAATTTTATTCATTGGGCAATGGGAAGCCAGTGGAGGGATTGGCAGAGATGGATGGCAGATACAGAACGGTTAGTAAGGTGGATGAGTCTGGCAGTAGCATTCATGATAGACTAAAGAGGGGATAGCCTGCGATTAGGTAGGCCAATGAGGAGGGAGTTACAATAGTCAAGGCGAGATATAACCAGGTAGTGAATAAGTTGCTTAGTAGTTTCTGAGGTTAAGAACGGGAGTATCTTGGAGATGTTGCAGAGGTGAAGTCTACAAGATTTGGACAGCGATTGGATTTGGGGCTGAAAAGAAAGATGAGTTTCTATCATTACACCTAGTACTCTGGCATGAGGGGAGGGACTGATGGTTGAGCTATTGATTTTGATGGAGAAGTCAGGGGAGGGGGCACGGGCTGTAGGGAATAGTATGGGCTCAGTTTTCGAAAGATTGAGTTTGAGGAAGTGGAGTGACATCCATGCCTATATGTCGTTTTGTTAATCACGCTTTCACAAAAACAGGTTCACTCTGTGAAATGATGTTTCTAGGGTTGCCAACAAAGGCATTTACTTTAGCACTTCCCAAAAAACAACAGAGTGTAGGCACTTGTTAGGTTTCCTAGTCTGGGCATGCTCAGTCATGTCATTCCCAAGACGTTTGAACTTGGTGGAGTCCATGCCTGTTTGGATTTTTTTAAAATATATCACTTTAAACAGACAAATTTAAAATTCTTTTAAAGCAGGTATTTTTTAAAATGTTCAACATATGAATAGGAAGTATAAATTGCTTGAGATCATGTCATTAAAAAGATTTTTCTGTGCTGTGCACCTGGTTCTAAGAGGTGAACTCATTTAGACAGTCGCTTAGTTTTGTGACCATTAATAAATTCTGTTTTGTGTCTGTTGATGGGTGGTTTAGTCAATCTTTTCTGCGTCTCAAAGTAGATGGTCATGCACAGGAATGCGCCTGTTTGCAGACATGTGCTGTAGTAAATCAACCCCATAGTTTCTAAAGGTCATTTAACACCATAGTTAATTTCTCAAATACGTTAGGACCCCCAGAATATTTTTAAACAGGCCCCAATAAGTGGGTGGTGGAGCATCCAGGGACCATCTCCCAAAAACCGGACACCCACCATTATACATAGGAGGGGGGGGGGGGGTCTGTTTTTATAGCTGTCTTTGGAACTAGTGACACCTACTTCCCCCATTTCTTGTCCTAGAGTCACAGACAGTAGTTATACACAGACAGAGTTTCTAACTTTTCCTCTGATTTGGCTGGAGTTGAAATTTAAAAGTTAATGGGTATGTAATCTCTAGCAATGAAGTTTTGTTATTTGGTTCCTTTTGGACTGTTTAATATGCCCCTAGAAGTTTTTTTTTATATATCTCTTTCATAAGTGCAAAATACCTGTTGAATTTTGTCAGAAATTTTCCTCTGTTTTCTGCCCTTGGTTCATCCTTATCAGTTATATTGTTCCCAGCTATCTCCAAGAACTACAGAACAACATCCCTCTGTTATGGAGATGAGAAAAGGGGATGTGTTTGTAGTCCTTTCTCAGGATGACAGTGCTGATTCTCCTTAGTACAGTACGTTTTGTTGCTTTAGAATAGGATGAATGTTACTAGATCAAAAGGTCAAAAGCCTGAAAAAAAATGAAAGCTAATGCAGTCGCCCCATCTAAGGACTGATGAGCTGCAATATATTACAATGTTGTCCTTTATTTTAGACACAGTTTAATACATTTTTACATCTGTACATGTATATTGACACAGAAAGAATCATATATTTAGAATAACACAAACCAGTGTGTTCTACATATACAGGCAGATTCATCAGTATGACAAAGGATCTGTTGTTAACCTGTTCTTGGAAACATTGATGACCATGTTTTGTTCTGTTTAGAACACTTTTTATCACATGATTCTCTTGGCAGAAAGATATGGTACTAGCAGGGGCGGACTGACCATTTGGAAACTCGGGCACTGCCCGAGGGCCCGAGTCAGTAGGGGGCCCCATGAGATGCCCCTGGTACCTTTTTCATAAGCATTTTTGAGTTTGGGAAAGGACACCGGGGCCCCATGATCCCCTATTGCCCGGGGGCCCCTGTGATGAGTTGTCAGTCTGCCCCTGGGTACTAGTTTCTTTTCATTATTTTTCTGCTTTAAAAAAAACTGCCTGCTTTGTAGAGTGATTGTTTTGATCTCACACATAATTTCAAGCACATTTATGCTGGAGAGGCTGAAGGGTAGCCATAGATTTAAGGTGATTATTGATCGTTGTTTTTGTGGGCACCAGCTGATTGATCTTGTGGAAAATAGCCATTGGTCGATTGCTGTTATATGCTCAAGATAAGCTACCACCAGGAAGGCGTTCTTGTCTGGCCCGATTAGACCATGACAATCAAACGACTGAAAAGTTTATCTTTATGAAAGGATTTTTTCAGTGGTCATATTTTCCATGCACATACAGCTTCCCTTTGATGTCTTTGGTTGGCCTATTATGTATCTAATACAAAAATATTTTTTTTGTTCGTTTTGGATAGAGTGGTGAGAACCTATGTTGGGTTTTTAGTGCTGTATGTATGCTTCTGATGAGGAGCTTTACCTTCACTATTGGTCCTGTTGACAAAAAGAGGATCAAAATACAAAAAATTTGAGCTGTTACTGGAACAAAAATAGAGGGGAAAATTTTCCAATAAGGACACATAGATCTTGCGACACCTACGAAAAGATTTCCCTCACTTTGGGAAGATTTCCGCTCACTACCTGATGTGTCTACATGACAGGAAATGAAGGAGCATTGTGACACAGAAGAAAACAATGACATGGAATTGAGCATTGTCTTCTCCATCCAGAATGGGAAAAAAAAGGTGTTGACTTTAGGTAAATTCCTCCATTGGGAAACTGATGGACCTATCAAGAGAAGTCTAGACACAAGTTGCTTTCATGGAAGACTCAATGGAAAACTCTCACATCTCTGATGTGAAAATTAACCCTAATGACTTGCCTCTGTAAAAACAATGATGGGCAGAAAATGGCAGCAGGTGTTCTAGACTAACGAATCCAAATTTTGAAATATTTGGCTATAACAGATTGCAGTTTGTTGGCCGAAGACCTGGAAAGCATACAGAGACGAGTGTCTGCAGGCAACAATGAAGTTTGGTGGAGGATCCTTACAGGTCTAAGGCTGCATTTTTGCACATGGAGTTGGGTATTTGGTCAGATTTGATTGTCTCCTCAGTACTAATGGATATTTATTGTTCATGCAGTGCCATCAGGAGGGCATCCGATCAATCCCAAATTCATTCTGCAGCAGAAAATATTGCAGCAACAATCATAAAGAACAATGTTTACAAACAAGATGCCAGAGCCCTGATCTCAGCATCATTGGGTCTGTCTGGAATTGCATAGATAGAATCAACTTGGACAGCCTAAATCCACAGAACTGTTATTTCCCCTGGATATGTGAAAAAAACCTATCTACCAATTACCTTAACAACTATGTGCATGTATACATAGGAAAAGTGATGATGTTCTAAAGGCAGATGATGGACACGTCAAATATTGATTTTTTTTTTTTCCTGATTATGGACTTTCTTTATTGATAAATAAAAACTATTAATTTCATTATTTTGAAACCATCCTCACTTTACAGCATTTTCCCACAACTGCTTAAAACTTTTTAATATATATATTGCATATTATTATTCTATAATTTGTTATGCAGCCATTCCTTAGAGCTCTTCTTACATATTTACTGGACTTTCTTTTGCTTCACTATGGAGAGGGGAAAAGCCTGTAAATTACAGAACTCAATAGGTCAAGCTGAAATTAGGCTAGACATCAAAAAATCATTCTTTCTCCATTCTGGTTATGCCATGTGAAGTCCTACCACTATAGCTGTTCTCTCTCTTTATAAAACATGTAACACTCTGTGGATTTTATGTCATAGGGGGACCTGTATTAAACATATATGATGTAAAACAAAGATTGCATACAAATCGTAAACAAAAAAAAGATACGCATTAGTTTACAACTATCTTCTAAAACCACTATAGTTCCCCTTTAAGTAATATCCTTGGATAGGGAACAAGATTAATTATCTCACCTGTAAGACTTTAACAGAACTGAAAAAACATGAGCGGTTAGGGGTCCTTGAGGACAAGAGTTGTGCACCGCTGGTGTAAACAGTTGATTCCAGTGTTTAATAAAGCAGATGCTGTTCACATGCATTTAAAATGCATAAGCGTGCACCCCATTGTGAACAAATCTGTTGCTTATAACAGTGTTTTGTTTTTTTTACCTATTCACCAGCATTTCTAAATTAATGTGCTTTGTTTTTTTTTACTTTGTCTAGCGGAAACCATTGTGAATGTGCTGGATTTCAAGAAAGATGTGGGATTGTGGCATGGAATTCTTACAGTAAGACATCATTGTTTTCATGTTTATTACCTACAGCTTTTTTGTATGTTACAAAGTGCCTGGAATACCAAAGTTTAGTGTTAGAGGCAAAATACGTAAAACAGAGGCTAAAGGAAACCTCTAGCGAGAGAACTGCGTGGTCTGCTATTGCTGGCCATTGCTTATGGAAGTCTAGTTGCCTAATGGTCTGTGTCTTCAGTATTTTATGTAACTGACCTGCAACAAGCATACAGATTAAAGCCAGAGAAATGACACCTGTGTATACTTGTTCCAAATCGATCTGACAAAATGGTAAGGATGTTGGAAATGCATAGCAACCAGCAACTAGCATTTTAAAAAGGAGACGTCAGCAATTGCAGTCTTCATATTATCTAACTGCACTGTAGTTTGCCTTTAAATTTAAGATATGCATTTAATTAAAACTACACTAAACCATCCACTTACCCACATTAGCCCATTTGAACTAAACTACACTAACCCCACCAACACCAGCTGATTAGTTACATTAGTAGGAGAGTCACACTCTGCTCATTAGTGTTCTCCTCTCCAGGCTCTCATCAACACTGTCTGTGTCTGCATAGTGAGCCCTCATAGACTTGTATAGGACTGTATTCCACGAGTTTCCAGTCCCACTACATAGACTTGTATAGGACTGTGTTCCACGAGTTTCCAGTCCCACTAAACAGCCTCATCCAAGTCAACAGCAGTTCACTGTGCACACATGGACAGTACTGAAGTCCAGCCTGGACAAAAGGAAGACATGGAGTGGAATTCTGATGTCCTACAGACGTACGCAAGCAGCTGGGACTTACAGGTGATGAGGGAAGATTAGTGTAGATCAGTGCAGGAAAGCTAGGGAGGGTAGGTAGGTTAGCATGGTTATTATCAGGTATACCTCCCCTTTAGAGAGCAATTCCAGGGAACAAGTAAAGTCAGTCTGAAAATTTGCTAATACTCTTCAGCAACTGGGCCATAGTTATAAAGTCTGCTAAATTGGCCTCATTCTGTGTAATCCATTAAAGACAGACTTCAGCCTGTGTCTGCTTCCCAAACGGTGGTGTATTTAGGTTTTGCGCTGCCCTAGACAGCACAAAAATAACCCCTCCACAGAGATCCTGACATCCTGACAAAACCACATCGACCTGGAACACCCCCCTTCCCCCGTGGAGCGTGCCTGACAATGACCAATACTAACCAACCCCCACCAATCTGGCTGAGAGAGCCTTCCACCACCCGCCACCAAGCCACCCCCCCACCAGGCGAGAGAGAGATCATTATCTTGACAGCTCCGGACATATCCAGGAATGAGAGTCAGGCATACACAGTCAAACAGCCCGGAACCTCTTATTGATCCCACCTGGTCCCATGCCGCACGTGTCCCTTCTTTTGTCCCTTCTTCCGCCACCCCCCTGAAAAATGCCGCCCTAGGCAAACGCCTTGTTTGCCTTGTGGTGATTACTCCCCTGTACCCGAAGCATGTGCTGCACAATTATCACACCAGTCAGATACTGCTTATTGTCAATGAGAACCATCTGCATACAATTTCTGTATATAAAAGATCACAAGGAATCTGTAGTTGCATTTGGGAATAATATTCTTCATTACAAACTCAAGCTAAAGTTGCTTTTAAGTCACTGGAATCCTGGCACACAATAGCAATATTTGGATGAAACAATAAAGCCCTGAGCAGGAAGTATTAATTTCCCGGTTTACCTTTTAAAGAAGATTCTCTTCCAAGAAGATTTTATCTAATGTAGCCGTATAATATACTGTAACTTTTAGTGTGATTTTTAGAAAACTATTTCCTTTCTGTACACATGATGATATCCGGCAGCTTCTAATAGTCTTGTACACATAGAGAGCTTTGTATAACTCCTCTTCAGGATGTGTTCACTAAGTAGGCCAATCCAGGGCCTCTCCCATGGTGCACTTGATGGCATTCCCTGCTCAGATCGTATATACTCTGTGCTGTCCGCATAATGTATCACAAAATATGAACATAAACATTACCTGCTTGCCCATTGGAAGGAATTTAGGTACAGGTATTAATATCTGCGTATTTTAAAGCAATGTCTTTCTTTTTTAAAGCAAAGTGATATCAGCATATACTATGTTATTTCAAGCAAAACATAACCGTCAAATGGACTGTGTTGTAAATCTTGGCTAGCAAATGTTCCTATACAAGAGGTAATAGATGAATTATATTGTAATGTTACTATTTGCAGTGTTGAATCCATCCAAACTGTGTTGGACTGCTGCAATGTTCCAGAAAATGGCATCATGCAGGGGTCAGGGGATTAATAAAATGGATCAAAAAGCAAAGAGACTGGCATTAAACTTTTATATTTTAGTTGTAAAAAGAATAGTGTAGATGTCTGGGTATACTTGAAACTAGGGCCTTTAATTGGTGTCCCTCTTTTAGTGTTCAGTCTGAAGTTATAATCGGGTACCTAGAGATGGAGACCTCATCTGCTCTAAGATTAATGGTGGTGTATCTTAGAGTGATGTTGTTGTTGTAGTTGCAGCAATATATAGCATGATTACAGATCGTTCTTCAGTACCTTCAGCAGGACACCAGAAATGTCATCTGTGCCGATGTTAACAGGCTGTACAGCAGTTTCCTGCCTACTGCATGCCGTGGTCATCTCAGAAGATGAGTCGTCCTCAGAGGGCCATTCATTGTAAGGGTAGCATCTAGCATTTAGCATCTAGCAGTAGGGGATTGCTTTGAAAATAAAATTCACAACCTGCTTGCCAAATGTGGGCATTTCCTCCTTCCTGTCACCAAGGACCTTTTTAAAAACATATAAAGTGGAAAATAATCCTCCATTTCACAATGACATCACTGTTTTTCTTGGGGTGGTTTGACAACAACTATCCATTTGTTAGAACAAGTAGTGATGCATGGAGTGATTACTTCACTGTGCTGTACACCTGTCATTATTCTCACACAAAGCCCACTCTGTACTGCCTTGTCTGTCTGGGACCATTCTCCACTCCACTCCACCTGGGTGCCTTATATGTTCATGAATAGGAGCTTTGTTCACAAATAACAATGGCCAGCAATCTTTTCTTATGCCTTTTCACTAGGTATTGTTGAAAGGATTGTATAGTCATATCATTGTTTTTTTTAGATGTGCACTTAAAAGACAGATGTGTGATGTGAATATTCTGATCAGTATTTATTAATGCTTTAAGGGTATGTTCACACCAGTGTTACAATGCAGTGGCTGGTGTGCGGCACAATGCGGTGGGAGACCAGCAGTGCCGATCATACTGTTCTTTTTTTTTTTTTTTTTTTTTTTTTTTTTTATGTATTGAAGGGTCACACATAAACATTTCAGCAGCTTCTGATGACCACTGCAGGTGGATTGCCTCGTACTGCTCTAGAAAAAAGTATGGCCTTTTTTTTATTTCATCATTTGCCAACCGCACACCACTGCAATGCAGTGGTGTGACCCAGCTGCATAGGAGATGAGGCATTTTGCCTGGTCTTGCAGTGGGATTGCTCTGGAATAGCTGCCCAAAGCAGTCAACTGCACCTGGTGTGAAAAAGCCCTAAAAGGTATGTATAATGTGTCATTATATATAAGCATGGGGGGCAGCCATATTTGCTCATAATAAATACAGGCCTTGATTCCTGCTTTGCTGTACTACACAGTGGTTGTGCTTTATTGCTCCATCTCACAATGCAACTCCTTGGATCAGCTGATTTGCTAAAAACAATGTGGGCGGTATAGGGTCTCAACAGTTGCTAAAGGACAAGTTTAGGAGTATATTTAAAACATTCCCCAGCCCCCATCACTAGCCTTCTCATTACATTTAACTGTGTCACCCCCTGAAGGTATTTATCTTTTCCAACAGCTGCAGCCTCTCATGCGGACTACAGCACAGTTGGACAAATAACGTACTTTAGACTTGAACGGGACATTGCTTATACAGTTTAGATGATAGCTCCGCCCCCCTACCCAAAGCGCAGGCAGTGCGACACTAAATGTTTTCAGCCAGGTATAAAAGGCATGGGAGGTTGCAGCTGTCAGAGGAGATTAGTACCTGCAGGGACATGACAAAGCTAATGAGGGGTTATTGAGGGGGCCTGGGTAGATTTTTTTTTTTTTTTTTTTTTTTTTTAATTCCTAAACATGTGCTTTAGGCAGAGTCATTGCAGCAACTAGTTTTCTCTGAAAGGTATAAAAAGGAAGCAAATATTGTAAAGTAAAGACTGCAGACAAAAGCATATGTGCTCACTTAAAACGCACTATATTTTCACATTATAACTGACATTCGTGGTTTAAAGGTACAATATAATATTTGCCTTATGTTGAGTGTGCATGGAATAAAAGAGCACGATCATGCTAGTGAAGCCAAGTGGCTTAATGTTTAGCTGTTCACTGCAAATGGGCAGATCATAAATGTGATTCATTTTAGGTAAATTCCCATACTCTGATTATGCAAGGGCTGAGTTATGCAAGTTTAGGAAAATTGTATATTTTCTGTACATCTACTGTCTTGTAATTTATTCAGATTAGCTTGTGTTTGGTGATATGTCACTGTCCAATATGGCCACTTAAATAGAAATACATGGACAGGTTGGAGATACTGATTCAGAATAGAGGTTATTTTCTGATGGGTTTTCCTTTAGCTATATAACAGACTGTATTCTGGTAACATTTTATTGAATTTTCATACTTGGTACAATTATGTTTAATTAGCTAGTATGTGGTTTTAATGAGCATGTCTGTGTTGTTTCCAGGTAAGATGTTAAAGGGCAGCTCGATGGGGCCAGGACAAAATTGTGAATAAATCAAACTTATCCCTGTGCTGACACTATTTACCAAACAAACCGTTTAATGGGAAACAAGTGGTTTTCGGATGTAATTTCTTTGGCCAATTTGAGTGTTTCCAATTTTATAAACTGTTTTTTTAATTTATATTTTTATTACTTTTACTTTCATTTCTATAAAATATTTATTTTAGCAATAGACATTTAGGGGTTTATTTACTAAAGCTGGAGAGTCCAAAATCAGAATCACTTCTGCATAGAAACCAATCAGCTTCCAGGTTTCATTGCCAAAGCTTCATTGAACAAGCTGAGGTTAGAAGCTGATTGGTTTCTATGCAGAAGGGAGTCTGATTTTGGACTCTCCAGCTTTAGTAAATAAACCCCGGTGTGTCCACACTACTGTGAACTGTAAGCGCGACTTTGCCATGTGACTTCATGGCAACTTGAATACTACTTTGATGCGGCTTTGAAGCAACTTTGAAGCAATTTTCAAGGAATGCCTGGATAATCTTCCTGTAATGTCGGATCCAGATCACATCAATATAGATGAGGATCCGACTTGGAGGCGACTTCCATTAAAGTGTATGGGCACAAGTAGTAGTACAGGAACCTTTACTAAAGTCGGAGCCACTTCAGTAGTACTAATTAAGACAGCTGTCATTGACTAACATGGGATTTCCCATGTCATGCAACTTGGGGTCTCACAAGTCAGATCCCAAGTTGCGGCAGTGTGAACTGAACCTTACTATGGGATATGAAAAGTGAAAGACAATCAGCGCAGTCACTATTAAAACAAAAATACCATAAACCTATCTTTGACATATAAACCTAATATACATACATCACAAGCAAATCACTGTGCCCACAGATCTGTAAATTCTTAGTTGCTGCCCAGCACCGTTAGGCATTTTTACTCCACCACTCTAAGATATGACACAAATCATGATGCAGCGCAACTAAAACAGTGTCTCTTAAATAAGTCCCAAATGATAACACAAAATTCCTTGAATATGTATGTGTGGCCAACCACCAGTGAATTCTAGATATCACAGTCTTCTCTTCAACGAATCACCCCCATGTCACATGTATCACCAAATGAACCATATGGGCTCACCTCCTGGAATGGACCTTAGTCAATAATCAAAGTCAAACTCACTTTTGCCCCTCTAGGGCTATACTCCAACTGACTCCTGGCTTCCATTGCCAATCACAGGCATCAACACATGGACTGGAGCTTCTGTTAAACCTCCTTCTCTTCCGTGTGACATATAATCATGCAAAAGGAATAAAACCAATAGTGCTTTCCATACGTTTTAAAACAATTGAATAAAATCTAAAATGGGACACTCGCAAACAAATGCACTCTCAGTGCCATGTTCTGTACATTGTGTAAAAGTAAAATTGCCTTCTCACCACCCGGTGGTGGCATCAAATATGCTGACTTGAAATATGCTCTGTTCAGTAACTACTGAGGAATCCTTTGGAAGTGTAACACGCATAGGAACGGAGTCAAGTCAGCACATTTGATGCCACCACCGGGCGATTAGAAGGCATTTTCACTTTTATACAATGCGCAGAACATGGCACTGCGAGTGCACTTGTTTGTGAGTGTCCCATTTTAGATTTTATTAAATGGATTTATTTTCCAATGGTTTTTTACTGAAAAGTTTTCAGAATACAAATAGTATCAAAAACAAATGCCATGATATAATACAAAAATAAGACTCCATATTTGTAGCCACATGAAGCGCCTGGAATAAGCATTCAGAAAAACATGACAAATCACTAAATGGTTTTAAAACGTGGAGAGCACTATTTGTTTTATTCCTTTTGCATCATTATATGTCACAAGGAGAGGAGGAGGTCAAACAGAAGCTCCAGTCCGTGTGTTGATGCCTATGATTGGCGCTGGGAGCCAGGAGCCAGTTGGAGTATAGCCCTAGAGGGACAAAATTATGTATGACCTTGATTATTGATCAAGGTCCAATCCAGGAGGTAAGCGCATATGGTTCACTGGATGATGCATGTGACGCGTGGGTGTTTCGTTGAAGAGAAGACTGATATCTAGAATTCACTGGTGGTTGGCCACACATACATATTCAAGGAATTTTGTTTTATCATTTGGGACTTATTTATTTAGGAGACTGTTTTAGTTGTGCTGTATCATTATTTCTGTCATTTACAATGGAATGCCTCCATGCCATTTAGTTTTCAGACACATAGGGCTTTTCAATAAGAAAAACCAGCAGTTCCAGTTAACTTTTTGATTGCCACTAACTGCAATCCTGATGGCTATTTACTGTATAAGCTAGGGGTATGGTGTGGAGTATCCATCTGGAGTCATAAAGCTATGTATTGTGACTACATATTGGGTTTGATTTACTAAAGACAAATAGACTGTGCACTTTGCAAGTGCAGTTGCTCTAATTTTCCCCAGAGCTTAGTGAATGTGGTGAAGCTTTGCTTTGTAAAGAAATCCCAATTGAGGTCAAGTAAAAAAAAAATGTGTTGCTTGCACATGATTGGATGATGGAAATCAGCAGAGCTTCACCATATTCAATAAGTTTTGGAGAAAATTTGCCTTCAGTAAATAAACCCCATTGAATAGCAGGAGACAAGTTTCCAAAGCTATTCAACCTATTCACAGCATGAGCAATACATTGACATCAGAAGTAGCACAGAGCAGACTCAGGCTGGCTGCAATTGATAAATAACACATATTCACATTCAGTACATTTTAACGTTTGGTCCTGAACACAATAAAAAAGTAGAAACACACCATACTATATAGAACCTGTTGGCCTTCACCATCCTGGGCTCCAATAGGTGTCATCCTTATGGCCTATCACCTTAGCCTTAGGTGTTTGGTGAATATGTAATGCCCAGTCTGAGAAAAGCAAAGTCTTAGAGTTTTGAGGACATGGCCACATTTTACTCACTAAATCAGTTCTTTAACATTCTTTTTAATATTCTAAATATTTCTGGTTCTAGAATGTACACACTTTTGCTGGTCTTTTAAAACAACTATAATATATGACTTCCACTGTGCACTGAGAGTCACTCTCATTTCAGGAAGTCTGCAGGAATTTTATACCACCACCTTCTCTTTTCCCTCTAAGCTGTTTTGTCCGTTTTGATGATCAGTGTGACTTCAACGCTTCATATTTCAAGTAGATGCATGAAGGTGACTTGGATGCTGAATCCCCAGGAGGGTATGGTGCTGATGAGAGAGACTTGGCCTCTGTGATTGGCAGCAGCAAACGCTTAAAGTTTGCTTCTGATAGGTGTTCAGTTTTGCTGTGGTTAATATTTCCTCTTGCTATTAATGGCTTTGGTGGTTGTGCTTAGGAGATTGAGCATTGATTTTCTGATTCAAACAGGCCAGGAGATGCATTTCAATGAAAACTTTATCTGGAATTGTCAGCTATCCCAGTATATATTGCATTCTGTGGTGCTGATAAATATGGATTTATTGGAAATATTCTCACACAGCAGCTGAATTGCTAATATGTAAAAGCTGGTTGCAGGATGTCACTATTTCTACAAAATGGACATTTTCTTCACATTTTAGTTTGATTATGCAGGCTTCAACCAATGAAGGTTGGGAGCGTATGGAAAATGAACACATCTTAGTTGGGTGTGTTTGGATGCATCTGGTAAACCATAGTTGGTCAGAGGAGGGGTTTAGCTGTGTCCTGGTTATGGAGGGGATAGTACAGTTTTGGAAAGTAGTCCTCATGCACAGTCTTTGAGCTAATTTTGGCTGTTATGGGTTTAAAATTATTTCTAGCATAACACCAAAACCCTGCAAAATTAGTTGTCAGAAATCTTGCTTTAAGATATACAGCAGCCAAAAATTAACATTTTGCTTTTATTGTGACTCTGGGGACTTTACCTGCCAAATTGCTCCAATTTTCCATGACCTTCATCTTCTATACCCGGCTGCCTTGTCATCCAAATGGACCTGAATTTGAGCTTGTAAAAGTGCAGGCCAAGTGTTCCCTAGTTCTAGTCTAACTCTTTAGGTCTAATGTAGCATCACCTACACGATAGGCAGGTTGTACAGAAAAGGTCACTACCAAATCCTGCAAACAGGACCCCTTTTGACTCCCGTTTGCAATATTTCATTGAATCCAGGTGCATGTGACTCTTTTGACTTGGTTATACCTTTTGAATAGTTCTGCTGTAGCAGGGCTTTTGATATGAAACATCCCAGAGTAACAGAGAATTGCTACCTATGGACTAATAGCAGAGTCTAAACTTTTTAAAGATATACCTTAATCTTCCCTTAAATGTTATTTTTTCAGTTTATAGGCACCATAAATGTCTGCTTGGATAATGTTTCATTTTAGTTTTACAAGGACATTCCTGATAGCTGCTCTGTATCTTTTAGTAGATAATGTGCACAGCAATTCACATAGCTGTAAAATGTTCATGTTTCTGAATTATTATGAACATTAACTTTAAGTGCACTCGTGAAAACGCTTGGAGAAGGCAAAAATTAAATTAGAAAATTAGCACTGCTGTTTGTGCGGATTAATTAGCCTGAAAGATTATCCACGTCTTTCTTCCTCTTCCGTAATCAAGGATTTGTCTTCTGATTTCAGAGTGTCATGAACATGATGCACGTCATCAGTATCCCGTACTCTCTTATGAAAGTTAATCCATTATCATGGATACAGAAAGTTTGTCAGTACAAAGGTAAGGCTGTTTTTTTTCCTTTTCTCAAGATATTCATGTTCATCTGTATTGAATCTGTGCCCACTGGCGTAAACCAGAGGCTTCCAGTCAGACACTGCTATAACTCCAATCCGAAATGACCAGCAATATTACAGTTTTATAGTTGTTTTTGCATAATACAACATTTTTTTTTTTAATATTATTCACAGTCATAGGATTATAACATTTTCCACTTCAATATGGTTACCTAAATTATATGTATAGCCAAAACGTGTTTTGTTTTCTATAGGGTTGGAACTGGTCAAAATCCCCATCAGGTTAGTTTTTTCTGTCTGTGTCCTGCTGGGGAGATTTTCTTTAATTTCCTGTCTTGGAAACGCGGCAAGAAGTGAAGGGAAATCTCACCAAAGTGAGGGAAATTCCTTCTTGGACAGTTGTCACCTTAACATGTGTCCCTATTGGAGGATTTTTCTTCATGCCCTCATAATAAATATAACATTTAGGATTTCTCCTTACTTTCCCCAGCAGGAACACAAATGGCAGTACAACTGTGGCAGAAAGTCTAACCTTTCCCTACTCTATCCAAAACTTAAAAAAAAAAAAAAAAAAATGTTTGACCTTTGCATACAATTTTAATTGTGTTCCCACATTTTAATTTCATGTTTACTTTTTTAAACAGTGTCATTTTAAGAAAGTAGTAACAAAAATGCAGTAGTCAATCTTGTGGGTTTCTTTGTCATTTTTTTGCCATCTAGTTGTTTACTTAATAAATTAGAGGTTTTTAGTTGGAAAAAATACAGCCAATAGTGAATCAAAGCTGAGCCCAAATCTTGGATGAAAGTTCATTGTCTTGGGTCCTACAGATTATGATGTCATTTTTGATAACATAAAGCTCCATAGCAAAGATTTTCTGCCACCTAGATAGGGATGGAGATGTAGCAATAACAAGACAACCCCCAGGAGATACAAACCAGGATGAATGTTAAAATATTTAAAATATAAAGATATTATTATAAAATAAAGATTTTATTATTTTTTTTATTTTTAATTTAATTATTTATTACACCACCTCATCTTTTTTGGTACCCATGGCTACTGCTGTTAAGAGCCATTTTAAGAGACAAAAGGAAATTAGAACAGATTATGCTACAGAATGAAATGTTCACATTTGTAAAAATTATACTTTGAGTGATTCCAGCCTGTAGAAAATGTTTTGAGAAAAGGATATTACTAAATTAGAACATTACTAGTATGAAAAAAGGAGATTGACTGACTTATTTAAAATAAGATTTCAGACGTTTACTACTTGTCTAAGGTAGAATCCTAGTTGAAACTCCAGCTATCCATTCTCCATAGCTGTTAGTAGGCTATGGTAGCATTCTCATTTTGCATCTTTAATAAAACATCCCTGAGGAGCGCCAATATCACCCTGGGTGGAACCACGGTGCAAGGAGAGTGTACCTCTGACGACTGATATTTTAAAATGACTGATAATTTTAATGCCTATTTTTGACCAGTTAAATAATAAGTAAATGGGGCTTGAATTTATTTTACTGTGTAGTTGTCAAATGTCTTGGTTCAAAATCTGGCCACAATCAAATTCTGACGCAGGATCCACTTCTACAAGGGTCCTTTCTGTAGGCTGATTATTGGTGGAAAGATGTGTTATTTCCAGTTTTGAGAAGAGGGGTTGGATGGACCCTTATGTTGTCTCACATTGCCTCTGGGGGCTTCCACCCTCCTTTTGTGAAGTCTTCACACACAGGCTCTTGCATGGGTTATCTTGAAGGACTTAAAAGTTGGCAAGTTTGGCTGAAATAGTTATGTCTCCATACTGAGTCAATAATGACGTAATGAGTGTCTTCACTGTCATTGTAATAGATTTTTTTTTATGGTTTTGAGGTTTGCAATATTTTGCTTCAAGATTAATTAAAACTATCTATCATGGAGCCTGGAGCATTTTTATGCAGCTAGCTGCAATGCTGCAAAGTGGAGGCACCAGGAACCTTCTGTTTAAAACAGTATTAAACCAAGAAACAGTCTTTTTTTTTTTTTTTTTTTTTTTTTTTTTTAATTGCAGCTTACCAATTCTTACATGGGGTGACTGCATTCTTCTTTTTTTTTCTTTTTTTTTTAATTTATTATCACTTGGTGATCCGGCCAGGTGTCCAGCAAACATGGTAGTTACAGGGTTGAGACAAAACATTTAACACTGACTTGTTAGTCAAGTCCATCTATCCGTTGTGCACTAACACCTCTCACTCCAAAGATTGACAATGCAGCTGTCCAATGATGTCTCAATTGCTCCTCAACCCAGAGTGGAGACACCTTAAGGTCTAGTACACACTGAGAAAATCAGACGAACGATCATGCGTATCATGATGTAACTGACAACAGTATTAACGAAAATTCTCAACCGACAAAGGCAAACGTAGCTATGAATCAGCGTAGTAGAAGAAGACGTGTAGGGTCGTTCTTTGCCTCTGATCATGTGCCCTTTTTTCTATTTGATTATTTTCATACTATTACTGTACACATTGAATGAAAATCGGAGGTTGTGTTCATGTACAATAAAAATATTTCTAGCTTGTACCCTCAGTTTTTGCCATTTTAACAGTTGGAATCAGCTGTTGAAAGCTGATCGATATTTCCTCATACAGAAATTTTTATACTATTTTCCTATTGTGTGTGTACGGGCCTTAAGACTGGAAATGTGTTACTGACTGGATCACCATGTAATTATAAAGGAAAAAAAAAACTTAAAATGAAACTAATACAGCCACCACATTTAGTCTCCGGTCACACCAAATCTGACTTTGAAATCATGCGACTTCACTGGAATTTGCATGATTTCAAAGTTGAATGTCAATGCAACTTCAGGTGCAACGTGGAAGACATCTGTGTGACTTTATATACAGGTGTCTATGCAAGTTGCACCTGAACTTCCACAAAGCACTGCATGAAGTACTTTTAATATTGCGGTGACTCCGACAGAGTCGAAATCGCACTGATATGACTGCTTCCATTGTGGACAGTAGGGTGTGACTTGTCATGCTATTTGAACCTATCAAATCACATGGCAAGTCACACCGGTGTGACCAGGGACTTATGGATTGCTAATCTGCAACATGATATATTTTTTTTACTACCAGTCTGTGCCTGAAGCTGAGCCATGCAACAGTCTGATACCAAAGCCTGGGTGGCCTAAGTGGCATATTGCAGAATTGTACTCCAAATCAATCTAAAGGCAAATTCCTGTGTATATTTTGGGGGCTCCTCAGGCATAAAAAAAATAACTTAGAGCATCATGAAGGCACAACAAGTTGGCTTCACTTTAGCAGTATTGTTATTTTGGAAACATTGACCTGATGAGCACAATTTATGTCAACCTGCTACTACATAAAATTTTTGTTCCCTTTCCCGCTCCAATACTTATTTTATCCACTACCAATGTTTTCACATTGCTTTGCTTATTTGACGCATGTGATTTTCTTTTTCTAATAGCAAAAGTTGCATGTGTCAAGTCAAGGGATATGCACTGGGCGTTGGTTGCACATCGGGATCAGAGAGACATCAACCTGTCCTCTTTACGCATGTTGATTGTGGCTGATGGAGCGAATCCTTGTAAGTACATTTCTAAATCTGCTGTTGTAATCCAAAGGAAAGATGTCTTCATATGCTGCAATGTTGTGAAATTCTATTTAACATATTCATTAATAATCTGATTTTTGTTTACCATGATCAGATCAGTAAAAGATTAATTCTGCTTTATTGATGTGTTTTTGTGTGTGTTTCTTTTGCATATATTAAAGGTTTCCTTTAAAGGGAACCAGTCCAGAGAAATATTCTGGTTGCTAATGATGAGAATCTACTGGAAATGTTACTTGTATGGATGCCATGCTGATCCCCTGGCTTTAATTCAGAATCACTGACTAGCATGATATAAGACTCATCTGCATTCTTGTTCCAGGTTAGCTATAGCTAAGTGTGACAGCAAGGCAACTTACAGTTTCAGAGGTCGGCAATTGCAGCCTACTTATTTCTCTCACTTTCCCTTTAAATGTTTTTTTTTTTTAGGGAATATGTGTTTCATCCATGTGTCTTACTTGTTTATTAAAGTGTTTGGAACTTTGGCCACGATGTGAAATTGTGCAGCCTCATTACTGAGTAGGGTTTATCCCAAGCTGAAGACTATAATTTTGTACGCTTTGCATGTTAAATCTGTTTGGATAGAAAATCATGCAAGTAAACATTTACCATTGGTGTATAATAAACTGCACATTTACATACTGAATGATCACAATTGCAAATGTGTCATTGGTATGCTTCTCCAAGCAGGCAAATATCACACTATGTAACTGGCATTAGCATTGCACACCACCTGTTTGTTGAACACAAGAGGTGCCACGTCTCTCTGCACCACATGTGACTGTGAAGTTAAATATTACAGAAAACATGTTATGCAGTTTGACAAGCACATTCCCTAACATTTTCACAATCGGCCTCCTGTATGAAAGTGCTGGGTGTGGGGAGCCAGGACCTTCTATACATTAGTCTCAAATCAGCAGTAAAGCAATGCCATTCATATCTCTGCCACCACACAGGAATGCTCCACCTTTTGAGATAAGAAACTGTACAGCATCCTATTCCATGTGTAGGCACAGTACACTCAGAATCATATCTATGGAAATAAGCACCTATGAAAAGCTCTGAAATTACACCCCTGTCCAAAGATCTTGCACCCAATTTGTAGATCACTTTAACATAATATCATCTCTAAAATGCAAGTCAAACGTGTATATCTTTTAATTAACAAATGATGGCACTATATGAAAATGTATAACTGTTCCTTCTTTGCTTTTGATGAAAATTGGTCAAAGTTAGTTTGTTCTCTTTCTACTCTTAGCAGAGCAAGATCACAGTGTGTGCTGTGACCCATGGAAGTTCTAAAATACAAAAGTCCCCCCCCCTTACAAGTCAAGGGGTTTTTGCTTACACATCAGAGCCACCCTTACACATTAGAGTCCTCCCTTTACCCCTCAGGTTTTTGTTACGTTGCAGATTCCCCTTACACCTCAGAATCTCCTTTATTCCAGGAGTGCCTCCTTACACATACATTATAGGCACATGGGCAGAGTCTGGAACTGAAAGTAGGGAGCCAGGAGGCGGAACATGTCTGAATGAATGTAATGTCCTTCTGTGAATGCTGGACCCTGCATGTCATTGTTTGGTAGAACATCCTAGAAACCAGCAAGAATGGCGGAACAGCAGCCTAGCACTTGAGAATACAAGGAGTGGGGGTGAGGCACTGGAGCCTGCAGGGGAGTGGGTGGGTGGAAGGACACAGAGACCACAGACAGCTGCATACACCGATCATTGATGGGGGATTGGCACCAGGTAAGTGGCAAGTGCCATGCCAGCCATACCCTGATTAAGCCACTGAGTGCACATCTCAGCACAGGGGAAGTTCCAAGTGGTGTTCCAATAATGTGCTCATCCCTCCCGCTATGCCCTGCTTCTTCTCCTAAGTCTAACTGCCTCCCCATTAGACGAGGAGAAAGCATATACTGCAAAAATCTTATCCTTGAGATGGAGAGAAAACAGTCTGCACATACACGATATTGCAAAAAGTATTGGGACACCCCTCCAAATCATTAGTTTCAGGTGTTCCAGTCACCTCCATGGCCATAGGTGTATACAATCAAGCACCTAGACATGCAGACTGCTTCTACAAACATTTGTTTTTCAGGGGTTGGGCTTGCTCCCTTAGTTCCAGTGAAGGGAATTCTTAAAGCATCAGCATTCCAAGACATTTTGGATAATTTCATGCTCTCAACTTGATGGGAACAGTTTGGGAATGGCCCCTTCCTGTTCCAACATGACTGCGCACCAGTGTACAAAGCAAGGTCCATAAAGACATGGATGAACGAGTTTGGGGTGGAAGAACTTGACTGGCATGCACAGAGTCCTGACCTCAACCCGATAGAGTACCTTTGGGATGAATTAGAACGGAGACTGCGAGCCAGGCCTTCTCTTCCGACATCAGTGTCTGACCTCAGAAATGTGCTTCTGGAAGAATGATCAAACATCCTCATAGACACACTCCTAAACTTTGTGGACAGCCTTCCCAGAAGAGTTGAAGCTGTTATAGTTGCAAAGGGTGGGCCAACTCAATATTGAACCCTACAGACTAAGATTGGGATGCCATTAAAGTTTATGTGCGTGTAAAGGCAGGCATCCCAATACTTTTGGCAATATAGTGTATGTAAGAAAGTAAATTTAGATATGATTGGGTAAGGGAACTTTCATAGCAATGCATGTGTAGCTCATGAAGCCCTTTGCTACATGTATTAGGTGTGTTTTTCTGGTTATAGAAAGAATAGAGATTTTCTGTAATGTAGATGTCAGTTCAGTGGACCCTCTTAGTTTGCACTCTGAAAAATGCTATATAACATTTTTAAAAAAAACACGCTGAGCATCCGTTCATACTGTAGGTGTGATATAGCCACTGAAAGTGTATATAAAACCGCCAAATTGTAATATATCACAGCTTACCAGTAGCTAGTACAGGAAAAAAAAAACATTCAATTTCAGTAATCTAATTGCTTATAACCTCTGTTCACTGACCTGATATCTCAAACAGTGTAATTATCTCTCAACAGTTCTCTTCTGTGAACTATAGAACACTTCTGTTATGGTGATAAAGAAAGTGGGAGATGCTCTGTAGTCCTAACATACTTCCTTTCTTAGGGTGATAACACTGCTCCTCCATAGATACTAAAGCACATCCAGTGAGCGTTGTCACCAAAGGATAGAAAGTGTGTTACTGGCAGGATTGCTATGTAGGTATAGGGAAAGAAAGCAAATTCAGCCTCCACACATAAGGATTGGTGAATTGCAATAGACTGCATCCTTTTTTCTTTTTTTTTAACAAATTATTTGTAAAGAGCAGTGGATGTCATCCAATTCCATAGGAGCAGTTAGGCAAAGACAATGATGTTTAAACAGCAAGGAAAAAAAAATATACAAATCAACATGACAACATCAGAATATAATAAATAACACAAGTTATGTCTCTGTAGACACACAGTCCCCTCAGAAAACCAAACCATTGAGTGAGACCACCTTACATGTCTGTGGAGTGGGACACCACTGCACATTTTCTTTTTTTTAAAAAAATACAGAGAAAAAATAGTCAAAGAAAAGGGAGCAGGAAGAGAGAGAGAAGGGGAAAAAAGGGGGGCTGGAGGAAATGGAAAGGAAGGGGGGGGGGGGGGGTTCTGTGCAGGAAGCACTCATCAGCAGGGTGAATTTCTATTGGGTTTCATCGCGAAAAGAGACTTCCTTACCTCAGAATATATGAACATGTTCCATAGTTTTGGAGTATTGCTCATGTTTATGTTGGTGCAATAGTACAAGGTCTTCCATTTGGTTGAGTTCTTCTATTTTTTAGAGCCAAAAGCCCAACAGAAGGGGGCTGTATGTGTCTCCATCTCAAAGAGATGCAGGACTTGGCTGCATTTAAAAGATGGCGTAGGACGGACTGGTTGTATGTTTTGGGTGGCATATTGGTGACATGTAAAAGAAAAAAGGCTGGCTCATCAGGGACTCGATAATCCGTGAATTTTTGCACAAAGTGTCAAACCTCTTTCCATAAATGTGCAAGCCTAGGACAGGACCAGAACACATGTAAGAGTATTCCCTCCTCTTCCAGACAACGCTAACATTTGTTCAAGGTATTGGGGGAGAACCTGTGTAAAGTTGTAGGGGTTCTGTACCACCGAGCCAGAATTTTGAAATTGTTCTCTTGGAGTTTTGTACAGAGGGAGAATTTTAAAGTAAGTCTGATCATATTGTTTTTTTGGGAGTCTGTGAACGTTCTGCACAGGTCCACCTCTCATTTTGCAATGTATGGTGGACAAAAGTCTTCAGGAGGTGAGTCAGTATACAGTTTGGAAAGTGCGTGGGGGAATGTGCCCATGTCAGTGCAATATTCCTTCCGCGTAATGGGCATAGATAATCTCTTAGAGGGGGAAGTGAACAAAGAAAGTGGTGGAGTTGAAGAGTCCTCCAGAAAGCCAATTGATAAGAACCTGTTGGATTCATAATGGTGTTTATTGAAGGCCTGGAGCCATCCACCACGAAATGAGAGGCTAGATAACAGCCTGAGTGTATAAGGGTCCCAAAGGAGCCATTTAAAAGGCATAGATCAAAGCTCGGGTTTCCCAGAATGGGACATAGGGGGGAGTTTCCCCCGACAAGGAAGATGAAGTGAAGAGCAAGGAACATATATTGGATGTCATCCCAATAAGAGGGTGCATTTTAAACAATATAGGAAAGGGAACATGGCATCACGGAGCTCGGCTGAGCGGTATTGAAGTTAGGTTCTGTTCAATATTGGGCCAGAGTTTGAAGTCCAGTCTATCAATCTCCCGGGAGAAGAGAAGCTTGATAATATTTTTGTAGATCTGGGACGGCTAGTCCGCCAAATTATTTGGGTAGTCAGAAGCCAACGTTGCAGCCAAGGTCTCCTTTGTGCCCAGATAAAATTATACAGAATAGCGTTAGCTTGTTTAAAGAACCATAAGGGAACACGGATGGGCAGCGCCTGAAACAGGTAAAGG